CACCACTTTTTAGCGATAGGATACTGACTAACCCATGATCTTAAGCCTTCACTTCCTCATCTGCAAGATATGAGCTGCTGGAGAAAGATACATACATACAAAGCCCTCAGCAAAGTACCTATTATGTTTCTTACTGATAAATGTTAAGAACTCTCTTTATAAACAATCTCTCCCTTTTGTAATGTTTTATCAATTCCTACTTAATAATTATCCTACCCTTTTCAGTTTGTTTGAGTCCTCATCTTGAGAGGAAACCTAAGAGTTGAATATGAATAGCTTTTACCATGTTACTTTGTTATCCTATCCCTTTGTCTTCACATTCTCTCTCCAAGCATGGGCATTTAGTCCACCTGCCATTCTTCCTGGTTATTACCTGCTCATCTACATATGCCCCAACAGGAGTGCTGTCTACTTACCCTCATGAAAATTATTTTCTTATGCACAGGATTCCAGATTCCCAGATTTGTTTTTGGTAAGGTGTGTTAGAACTCTTACCTGTTAGGTATTCTGACCATGACTTTCTGTTGCTCACTAACTTAGACACCTTTCTGCATTGCACTGAGAAGCATCAGTCAAGGGATACGTTTCCTGATGGGTTGTCAGAGGTGGTCTCTGGATGGACCATGACTGTTATGTCTACTTCCCTTTACCACTGTCCTTAACAAAATTCACAAGACTGAAATACTGCTGATACAAGACAAAACTGAACATGTGTGAGGTGCTGGTGAGGGGTCAGTCACTCGGCGACTGACAACGTTTTCTAGCACCTGAGCCAAGGGAGTACACTAGAAATGTGGGGGTGTAGCCCCAGAAACAAATGTGGTAGCCATAGCAGCTTCTGACAGAGCCTTGGGAGTTAGCAGGACGCAGACAGCAGCTCTGACAGTCTTAAGAACCAGGAGTCCTCTGTTTAGGAAAGGGAAGATTCAGGACTCCCAACAGATGCTTAACCTCTTAACCACTAGGCTAGGCTCTTTCTGACCCCACCCACCCCCAAGGTCTAGCTTAACCTACAGGCCAGGAAACTATAGTTATTAACCCTTTCCCCCAGCTCACACAAGCCCAAGACAGCTCCCTCTACCCTGTGGTCTAAGAGCTCCAGGTTTTGTCCAGTAACAGAAGCTTCTCCCCTGGCTCCTGTTTTACTACCAGCACTGCTCACCAGGTTCTGGCTACATCCATGCTTACTTAACAGACATGACTCCACCCCAAAAGGAACTCAACAGGAATGCTCCACACAAAACAGCCTTTTCATTTCTCAGATATGCCAGACATTCTTCCTGACCTTCGTCTATTGTTCCCTCTACTGGGCATATTGTTCCCTGGCCTGCCTGCCTACTTTGCTGGCTAAGTTCTACTCATCCTTCATCGTTTTTCTCAGAAACTTTCCCTGATCCAAGGTTGAGTCAGGTACTCCTAATGCCCCACAGCAGCGATTATACCGTATCACTGCCTGTCTTCCTTGTCCATTAAACTGTACAGACTATCTTCTTTCCCACTGTATTCCTAGTGCCTGGCACAAAGCAGGCCCTCAAAAAACAGCTGTTGGATACATTAGTTTGGATTCTTTCACTACCTCATTTCTGGGCTGTCACAGGCTCAGTAGGTCACTGATGAACTATTTCCCCATCTGTCTTGCTGCCCTGTCATTGTTCTTAATTGGTCAGTAAATTTTTTGTATTCCTGAGACAAAACGTCCCTCATATTGTCCACACCATATCCCAAACCTGGTATGTGGACAATCAGGTGCAGTGACACAGCCTGGGTTGCTGTACCCTCTTTGTGACACTCTCGTGGAAAATGAGGTTTCAATGTTATATTCCCATTTTTCTTATCTCCTGAGTATTCCTAATAGTAAGAGAAAAGCTGGAAGCAGTGATTCTTCCATCTGCTGTTCTGATTAGTCACAGGAAAAGCTTTCAAAGGACAATTTGCAGTAGCATTGAGAAGTGCTGCTTTAAGTCAGAATGACTCAAGATCTGGTAGTTTACCAGTCTGGAGTCTTGTTCCAAAGTAAACCCTTTCAACTAACAAAGATGTAAATCTGACCAAAATATTTACAACATTCCTTGTATTCACAAGTTACTTTACGGTGTGGACTCTCTGATGGCGCATGAGGACTGATCTGTGCCTGAAAGCCTTCCCACATTCATTACATATATAAGCTTCATCCCCAGAATGGATTCTCTGATGCTGAACAAGGGCTGAGCTCCTTTTGAAAGTTTTGCCACATTCATTACACTGATAAGGTTCCTCTCCACTATGAATTCTCTGATGTCTGATGAGGTTTGAGCTCAGACTGAAAGCTTTTCCACACTCATTACATTCATAGGGTTTCTCCCCACTATGTATTCTCTGATGGGTTATCAGTTCTGAACTCTGCCTGAAAGCTTTTCCACATTCATTACATTCATAAGGTCTCTCTCCTGTATGAATTCGCTGGTGTCTAATAAGCTTTGAGCTTTGGCTAAAGGTTTTCCCACACTCATTACACTCATAGGGTTTCTCGCCAGTGTGAATTCTTTGATGTATAATGAGATATGAACTTTGACTGAATGCTTTGCCACATTCGTTACATTTACAGGCTTTCTCACCAGTATGAATTTTGCGATGTCTAATGAGGGCTGAGCTCTGATTGAAGGCTTTCCCACATTCACTACATTCATATGCCTTCTCACCACTGTGAATTCTCTGGTGAATAATAAGATATGACCTCAAACTAAAAGCCTTTCCACACTGGTTACATTTATAGGGCTTTTCTCCAGTATGGATTCTCTGATGTTGTGTTAGAGAGGAATGCTGCTTGAAGCTGTGCCCACATACATCACATCTATAAGGTCTCTCTTCTGTAGGAACTTTCTGATAAGTTATAGAGTTTGTACTTAGAATCAAGCTGCTTTGAGGCTCATGATGGTCTCTCTTTCCCAGAGATTTGTGTGTGAAGATTACTTGACTAAGGCTGTCCCCTTGGGAAGGGGATCTTCTTAACTTCTCCCCTGTAGCATTTCCTTGTTGCCACTCTAAATTGCTTTCAGGTTCACTAATTCCTCCAGATGAAGGTTCCTGGGGAAGTCCTTGTGACTTTTCTCCTGAAATGTCCTTCTTTGTTGCTGTTTCACTGTTCTCACAATCTGAAATGATAATAGCAAAAAACAGACTGTTTTATTTCTCCAGTCACTCTCAATACCTACTTTCCATGTGAGAGGAAATACAGGCTTCTCCTTACAAAAGAGGTCACTGTCCACATATATCTTTCTTTAACGGGCCATACTAGGGTCCCTCCCTCCTCCTTTCGAGTAACTAACGCCTATATCTACACTTTGAAGTTTATTCTTTCCTACTTCCTCTGAAACTTCAATTGATCAATTACCTACTATTCCTTTCCTATTATTTTCAACCTCTTTATCTGCTGACTCCCATTCATCACCATTTAAACAAGCCCAAATTTCTCATCTTTTTCTTTTTAAAAAAAATTTTTTTTTAACGTTTTTTATTTATTTTTGAGACAGAGAGACAGAGCATGAACGGGGGAGGGGCAGAGAGAGAGGGAGACACAGAATCGGAAGCAGGCTCCAGGCTCTGAGCCATCAGCCCAGAGCCCGACGTGGGGCTCGAACTCACAGACTGCGAGATCGTGACCTGAGCTGAAGTCGGACGCTTAACCGACTGAGCCACCCAGGCGCCCCTCTCATCTTTTTCAAATCAAGCTCCTTGCCTACACATCTCCTTCATGCAACCTCATTTCCATTCGGTGTAAAGCTGATGCTGCTTCTTTTTATTTAAAAAGACAGAGACAGCAAGAGAGGGAGCACTTGCACACACATGCGCATGAGCAGGGGAGAGGCAGTGGGAGAGGGAGAGAGAGAATCCCAGGCAGCCTCCACGTTCAGAGCAGAGCCCCATGCAGGGCTCAATCTCATGAACTGCAAGATCATGACCTGAGCCGAAATCAAGAGTTGGATGCCCAGCCAACTGAGCGACCCAGGTGCCCACAGAGTAAAGCTTCTTGAAAGAGTTAGCCTTACTCATCTCTGTTCTGCAATCTGGTTTCTGCCTCACCTGTGCACCCCCTCCCCACCATGCTACTCTCATCAAGGTCACCAACGTCATAGATGCGTAATCCAGTAAATACTTTCTGGATCTTATTTAGTTGGCTTCCCTGTAGCACTGACACTGGGACCACACCTTCCTCTAGAGACATTTCTCTTCCGGTTATGTTAGCCTGATTTCTGGGGGCTGTTCCTTAGATTCAAGGTCAATCACTCAAACACAAGGTCCTTCAGGTGCTGTTCTGGGTTCTCATGTGTCCTCGCTCTACGAACTGTCTACCACCCAGGTTTCATCACTACTTATGTTATAAGCTAATGTCTCCCCAGGTCCCCAGTTCTATCCCAGTTCTCCCTATTAAACTCTAGACTATCATATCCAGTGTTAACTGGGATATTACTTGTGAATATCTCACAAGCCCCCAAATGGCTAAACACATCATCAGGTATATTTTTTTCCCTTATATTTTCACATTTACATGAATAGCACCATCATTAACCAAGCTGTTCAAGACTAAAACCTGAGAATCATCCTCAACTCCTTTCCCACATTCTCCACTTTTAACCATGACCAGCTACTGCAATGCAACTTAAAATGCTGGTCAAGAGACAGCTTTGATTGTCCCCATCTCTCACTGTAATACATCTTAATTTATTCACTGTGGCCATTTAGATTACAAGTTTCTAACAGGACTCCACTCTCGCCTTCCTCTAATCCATTCTCCACTTTGCAGCTAGATTCTAAAGCACAAATCCAATCAACTACTCCCTTGTTCAAAACCTTTCAACTGTGCTCCAGTGCACTCCTTCCAAGTACTTAAGATGTCCCACAAGTTTTCACAACCTGGGTCTCCTTTTTCTCTCTGGTTATGTCTCACCATTTCTCCCCTATGAATTCTCTCAAGTTAAATTGAATCACCTGCAATTCCCAGAATGGGTTGTATTTTCCCACCTTCAGGACTTTGTGGCCTTTGCTTGTGTGATATTATAATATAGGAAATATATATTTGGTCTTCATCCTCCGCTCTTGGCACAGAGCTTTAAAAACCCTTGCAACTTCTTTCCTAAGTGGTAGAGGTGAGAAGAGTGTCTTTTGTTACCCATAATAAGCCCCTATCAACCAGTACCTCAGTTTATGCTAGTGAGGTAACTCCTGGAGGGTAAGGGCTGGCTACCAAAGGAACCAACTATATGATTAGAAGGTTGGAACTTTCAGCTCTGCCTCCTGACCTCCAGGGAGAGGGGCTGGACATTCAGTTAACCAATGGCCAATGATCTAATCAACCATGCCTATGTAATGAAACTTCTATGAAAACCTTAAACAAAGCGGTTCAGAGAGCTTCCAGGATGATGAACGCATCCAAGTGCCATGACAGTGGTGAACCTCTAACTCCCCAGGGACAGAAGCTCCTGTGCTCAGGACCCTTCTGGATCTTGCCTGAAGTACCTCTTCATATGGCTGTTCACCTGTGTCCTTTATAATAAACTGGTAATGGTAAGCAAGGTGTTTCCCTGAGTTCTGTGAGCTATTACCGCAAATTATGAAACCCGAGGAGGTGGTCATGTGATGTCTGAATTGCAGCCAAATCGGAAAGAAGGGTGAGTAACCTGGGGATTCATTACAAGCGGAGGTGGCGGCGGGGAGGAAGGGAGGCAGCCTTGTGGGACTGAAACTTTAACCTGTGGGGTCAGCCCTAATTCTGGTGTGTCAGAATTAGTGTTGCTTAATGTGAAGGAAAACCCCCACACATCCAGTGTCAGAAGTGTGTGAGTAGAAAAAGTTTTTCCCTTTAGGATGGGAAAAACTCCCACCCTATTTACCTAGTTTTCTCCTTACTCATTGTTCAAATCTTAGCTCAGATGTCTCCTCCTCTGAGAAGTACTCCTTGAACCTCTAAGGTTGGGTTAGGTGTGTTCATATGTGCCCCCACAGTACCTAAAGCCCACTTTTATTCTAGAATTTACTATACTATATTGCAATTGCCTTTTCACTTGTCCACCCCATCTAGATGTAAAAGTTCCTTGAGGCAGAGACCCAGTGCCTACCACAGTAGCAGACATGTATTAGCACCCTATTAAGTTATATAACCAAGGAGTAAATGAATAAATGCCAGGGAAACTGACACAAGAAAGACTGACTGCACTTCCTGAGGGTTAGTAAATACAAAGCTGCTGAAGTGAATACCTCTGGTCCAGAGTAATAAAGGGGAGGCTCACATGTGGCATGTTTGTAAAATCCAATTAATTCTGTATCCTCAAAACCAGACGCCTGATAATAGTTCCCAGGTGAGTTTCTATTTTCTTACCACTTTTGGGGGAAAGGCAAGGTTCCCAGGGTTTCAGCTGTGTCTTTAAAGGTTGGAGTGGGATGTTTGTTAACTCTTGGGATGTTCCAAGACATGTCAGATCCTTCCATGGCACTGCTGGTCCCTGAAATCAGTTAAAACATGGTTAATTTTGTGAGAAACTCCCTAGGGAAAATGCTTAGTAAAAATCTGAAAGAGGTCAATGACATCCCCAGGGATGCGCAACAGGGGAAAAAAAAGACCTATTTAAGGACAGGGATAGGTATGGGCACAGTAGTCACTTCAAGGTATGGTTCAGTAGAGACAAATTTTCATCCCACTGCTATGAGGATGCTACATGCATCGGTCTGTAAATTTCTCTTCCCACAACACACCTGCTGCCCTGGATCATCAAATTCCCTCTCCAAATCTTCCAATAGGGTCACAGCTTCCTCGCCGCTTGTTGGGCTATGTTGCTGAACCCAGATCTGCAGCTCCTCAGGCAGGATGCTCAGGAACTGCTCCAGCACCAGCAGTTCCAGGATCTGCTCCTTCGTGTGCAACTCTGGCATGAGCCACTGATAACAAAGCTCCTGGAGTCTGCCCAGAGCTTCCCGGGGTCCAGGTGTCTCCTGGTAGCAAAACTTCCTGAATTGCTGGCGAAACAATTCTTGGCAGGATCGGGTACTTGCACTCTGCTTAAACTTCTGACCCCAGGAAAAGCTTTCTTCTACTTTCACTAGTATTAGTTCTTGTTCCTGAGGATTCTGAGGTACCAGGGTTGAAACTGCTCTAGATTCCACAGCCATTTTGGCTTGAACAGCTTAGCCAAAAGCTCAGCACAACTGAGTACTGTACTTCACAGTTTCTTTGAGTAATTTCTTCTTGCCTGAAAGATACAAAAGCACTGTTAACTTAGCAGTGGGAAAAAAAAAAAAAAACAACTCTAAGATTTATAATAAATATCAGTCATGCCAGTAATACATTGAAAGGGAAGAAGTTTGAGACTATAACTAAATAAACAATCAAGCAACAAACTAAAAGTCACTCATCCCATTTGTCTTCCATAGTGGAATTTCTACCACTAATGCCCTAAGAAATTATTTTAGAAGCAAAAGAATGCAATATTAACATGAATCACAAACTGAGAAATTTCCTTTTCAATTTTCTTTCAATCCTGATGGTATAGGGAAAAAAAATCTTTGTCTGTAAAACTTGCAGAATTCCCTTTTTAAGCCTCAGACTTCCAAGGGTAACTGTATCTAGCTAGGATTTAATAATACTGGTTTTTAAAATTTTATTTTTAGTTACCCTCTAGCTATGGCAAATAATATTTTCATTTGCGGTAACAACATTTTAAAAAATCATATTGAACAGAAGTTGATTTAAATAAAAACACTTTTTGGTAACTGCCATTTGATCAAATTTGGTTTTCAATGCATTTCTTCAACAAACACAGAGGCACTTACCATGGGCTCTGTCGTGAGCCAGGCTTAAGAATACAAAGGTTTTTGCTTGTTGAGTAAATGAATCTACAGAGGAATTAACCAAGAAATGTTTGTTAAAACGTTTACTGTGTGTTCAAAAAGATATCAATTGTCACGGAGACACAAAATCAGCAAAAACGTCAATCTCCGTTCTAAAACTTAGAATATACGAGAGAAAACATTTAGAGAAAAATACGGGAACAGATAATTATGTATTAAATTTTGTGATAGAGGTCACACATGACCTGATTCTAGGGATGGGTGAATATCCATAAGAGGGTATGCCCTTGAAACAGCAGGACAAATCAATCACAATTTGATCCTAACAGTACAAGTAACTTTAGAGATTAGAAGTATTTAGGCTAACATTTAGGTTTATTAAGCCAGCCCAGCCGCATTAGCCTGTATATGTTTGTATCCCGGTTAAACTTCAGCATTGGCGAAGTCACGGGGTGGGGGAGTAACTGCCCTCTCTGCTGGAAAGCAAGGGCCTAAGGTGGCCTCCTCTGGTCCCCAGGACGCTCAGAAACGCCGCCCGGACAAGGGGTCGCGACCCGGGACGAACAGGCCGGGGAGCAGGGCTCGTTCACCTTGCGCCCGCCGCCCGGGCGGCGGGCCCACCCCATCCCCGCCCTCCCTCCGCTCGGGGCCCGCGTCCCTCACCACGAAGCCCAGCAGCGGCCAGGGAGCAAGCCGCCGACTCCAAGCGGCCAGCCACAAAGACCGGAAGTGCGCGCCCGCGGCCTTCCGCTCGCGCAACCTCGGGAGCCTCCGTGTATCCCGCCCCGTGCTCACAGGCAGCCAATCAGCGCCGTGGATCCTTCGTTCCCATCGCCTTCCCTGCGGCCGGGAGCCCCGCGGAGCGTCGAGGCCCGGGTGTGAATGAGTCGGCGGGCGGGCGTCTTTCTGAGAGGTTGCCTTACGAGGGAGGGCGCTGCTTCCAACCTTGGCTGCCTCTTACCCTGACCTCTCACCGCCACCACTCCCTATCATTTCCCCTGCAGTTTTCCAGAAAAGTGTTAGGATTTTTCTGTAATTCCAGTGCGTTTCCAGTATCTCCGACAAAAGTAAACACGTGGATGAACAAGCCAGACAAAAAGTAACCATTTCTATTGCTCTTCCGTATGCATATCATTTTTGCCTTACAGCAGCTCTGTGCCGTGGCTTTATTATGCCCACTGTACAGCTATAGACAGTGCCCAAAGTCAAGCAGCGCGTGAACACAGACGCCCGAGTCCCCGTTGTTCAAGAAGACTGGCGTCCCAGACTGCGATTGTAACGGAGGGTTTTCCCATTTTTTCACTGTAACCCACCAGGCATTAAGACTTAGTGTTTACATTTTTCTTGGCCATTTAGTAGATGAAAAATGATGCTTCATGTTGTTTTAACTTCAGTTTCATTTGGATTAGTGAATTTGGGATTAAGGTATTTCCCTCTCATGTTTATTGACCGTTTATGGTTCTTCAAGGAAATGGCTTTTCCCATTTTTTAAATTGAGGTGTTACTATTTTTCTTTAAACTTGCAAGAATTTGTTTTACTTGCTAATGATATCAACTCTCAGTTTTTACAAATATTTTCTTTGTATTTATTTTTTGAATTTTGGCACAAGGTGATGCATAGTTCAAAATATCTTTTGCGAGCTAACACAATTAGGACGCACATATCTGGGGAAAAATAATTAGCTTTTAGTTCTTAATCATTGTGAACCAACTGGTAATTTTATCAATTAAGAGAACAAATATTACCATATGTTTCAGTTATCTGTTCCTGCATAGATAAAACAGCAGGTGTTTTATTGCTCACAATTCTGTGGTCAGGAATTCAGGGAGGGCTTAGCAGAGATGGCTAGCTCATGCTTTACCGGGTGGCAGCCTGCATGGCTTAATGGAGATCAGAGGGTCCAGGAAGACTTCACTCACATTGCTGTGACCTTGGTGCTGGAGTTACTTGATTTTCCATAAAACCTCTCTCCATGCAGTTTCTCATCATTCGGGAGCTTAGCCTAAGGAGTTTAGCACTTTATATGGTACAGGGCTTCCAACAGAGTGAAGAAGGGAACAGGCTAGTTCTCTTAAGACTTAGGTTTGGAATTGGCATTACATTACTTCTGCGGTATTCTTTATTATTTTTTTTTAATGTTTATTTATTTTTGTGAGAGAGAAACAGAGTGCCCGTGGGAGAGGGGCAGAGAGAGAGAGAGAGAGAGACAGAATCAGGAGCAGGTTCCAGGCTCTGAGCGGTCAGCACAGATCCGGATGTGGGGCTTGAACTCAGGAGCCAAGAGATCCTGACCTGCGCTGAAGGTGGATGTGTAACCAACTGAGCCACTGAGGCGTCCCACTTCTGCGGTATTCTGTTGGCAGAAGGACTAGACTCATGGGAAGGGGAAATAGACTCCACCTTTTAACAGGAAGAGCAGCTTGAACATAGAAGGACATTACCCTTGAGTCCAGTCTACCACAATTACTTACATGCAGAAGTAGGAGTGGAATTTAGGAGTGAAACTGTTGAAAGAGAGAAGGAATGCTTTTAACTGCAGTAATAGAAAACCTTACTAAATGTCCTTACTGGTTAAGCCTTTTTATTATCCCACATAGCTCCATGTGTGAAGGTAAGGCCATCCCTGGGATTGGCCGTGAACCAACCAAATGTGGTAAATAGGGCTTGACAATATTGTCGAGGACCCAGGTCCCTTCCCTCTTTTTGCTCTGCCATTGTTTTTAAAGTTTAAAAAGTTTTTTTTTTTAATGTTAGAGAGCACAAGCAGAGGAGAGGGGCAGAGGGAGAGAGAGAATCTCAAACAGGCTCTGTGCTCAGCATGGTGCCAGACATGAGTCTCAATACCACCACCCTGGGATCATGATCCGAGCTCATGAATGCTCAACTGACTGAACCATCCAGGTGTCCCTGTTCTGCCATTTTTAAGTGTGTTGGACTGTTTTCCAGTCTGGCTTCCCTTATGGTCTTAAAATGACTACCTTAGTTTCAGATTACAGATAATATCCAGAGCAGAAAAAGAGAACACCTTATGTTATGACTCTATTTATTTATAATGGGAGAGGGAGGGAGATGAGAGAGAGAGAGAGAGAGAGAGAGAGAGAGAGAGAGAGAGAGAGAGAATCCCACATAGTCTCTGCACTGTCAGCACAGAGTTTGACCTGGGGCTCAATCCCACGAACCATGAGATCGTGACCTGACCTGAAACCCAGAGTCAGATGCTTAATCAACTGAGCCACCCAGGAGTCCCTGTTCTGCCCCCCTTTAAGACTAATGACGACTTTTCCCCCCAGCAGATTTCTTCTCTTATCTTATTAGTTAAAAGTGCTTCAACTGTCTGTGCCTATCACCAAAAAGTGGTGAGGCATCCATGATGGGCTCAGGCCAATTGAAATTCATATTCCACGTATGAGGGGCCAGTCTCTCCTGAAAGACAATGTGGGGAAGGTAAACAAAATTAGGTTATGTTAAAAAGGCAGAAATGTTAAGGCAGTGTAGGTGTGCTGAGAACACTGATTCCGTCTTTGGCCCTCCATGCTGTTGATGCCCTCGCAGTGACCTCCCTTGGGGCTACATGTTTCAGGCCCCTTGGAGATTGATGCACCCCCTGACCTGAATGCGGGAAGGCTTCTTCTAATTGTCCCTAAAGGGAAGCACAGAAGTTTCCACTTTAGAAAATTAGTAGAGCTAGAACTGGTGCACAGGTGACACCACTTGAGATAACTACCCTATGACCTCACCCCTCATGCCCTTTGCTCTATAGAAGCTAGGGATTAAGAGCCAGACTTAGTGGGGGATAGCTGAATAGCGCTTCGGATCGTCTGTCTGCCTCATTCTCCCTGTAAATTACCGTAAGAGTCTGTAAAGGTCAGGGGGTGGCTTGTGTCATTTTTCTGGTCTCAAAGTGCCTTCTCAGTTTGGAGGATACTTTACTGACTCTCGTCTGCCTTCCAAGAGGCAGAAAAAGGGGATAAACAGATGAATGTTGAGTGTGTAATAGCCGCGTCTACTCCAGTAGTTAAGCTGATTCACCTATATAGGTAAGAAAGTGAGACCTAGAAAAAGAAATTGAAATTCTAGTTATTCCTTATAAGATGGTGCGTATATTTAAAAGATAAACCAAATACTTAGCTGCAAGAGGTGTAGACGAGAGTTATAGCTAATGTGTAGGACTTGGTTAAAATTCCCAGTGGGATAGCAACTTACTATTCTTAACTTTAGCCATGAGGTCTTAGTCTGTTTGGGCTGCTATAACAAAAATACCACATAGACTCAGTGGCTTATAAACAACAGAAATTTATTTCTCACCGTTCTGCAGGTTGGA